AAAAAAAGTTACCCAACCGGGTGTGCTACTATCTCTGCCCTATGAAAAGGCACGCGCGGTAATACATAACATGCGACACGCATTCGTTGGAAGCGCAAAAAAAAAAAAAAAAAAGAAAAAGTAAAAAAAAAAAAAGGAGTGTGGGGGGCATGAAAACTCCACAAACCCCCTTTTCTTAAGCAGCCGCGGCGGGCTGTTTCTGTTGCATTAAATAATCTCTCTCAGGTGATTCTTCACCAAAGTCAATAATTGAAACGGAACTCGCGCCAATAATCTTCCTGGCATTTCCTTCTTTGTCTAATTTAAACAAGCCAACCCACTGACCTAAATCCTTGCTATCATTTTCGACCATAAAAAGGGGGATGTTCTTTTCAGTACACAAAGCTGTGATTAATTTTTTGTATGCTGGCTCTGAACATACGTCTGACAGGAAGCAGGCCTTGGCCTCCTTGGACTCGATGGACTTAATGACTTCCCTGATTCCAATTTTCAGCCCATCGTGCACCAGGGCGTTCTTCAAAACCTGCAAAAAAGGGGAAGAGAGGGCACAGCCCGCGGAAAAACGGAAAAAAAAATATATACATATGTATATATACGCATGTAAATACATATGCACGCTCCAATTTGTGCGAGTCCGCCAGGCCACCACATAATAATATCCCCGCAAGTAAGCCCCCCATCAATAGTTCATCTCAATCCTTTTTCTTTTTTTTTATTTTTCTCCTCCTCTGTATTCTTACCTTTTGTATGGCCGTGGTGTGATCGAAAACGGTTTTCTCCTCCACGACTACGTTGTTGTCAACGCTTTCTACGTCGGTCATTTTGAGGAAGCAAAAAAAAGGGGAAACAAAAATGGAGAAATTATAAAACAGCGTGAAAAAGTTAAACTGCTAAAACGATTAACTAGTATTTTTTATAGTGGTCCCACAAAACAGGATGCGCGAAAAGGGGAAAATTTTCATTAACTGAAAAAGCTACGTAAAGAAAAGTGAATAAGCCAAAAACAAAAATGCAGGAAAAAAAAAAAAAAAAAAATTAAATTGTTCCGTGGGTCAGCAAAAAAGGATACATAATGGTATTATTTTATAGAGTATCGCAAAGAAAGGGGAAAAAAAATAAATTGGAAATAAACCAGCGCATCGAGCGGTGAACGCTTATAAAGAATTCGTGCAAAGCTAAAATTTTCATGTGCCCCAAAACCCCGTTTCTCGTTTCGCG